AGCCTCTGTCGTGGCCGTGCGTGCTTACGAGAGAGCACTACGAGCGGCGGTGCTTGATCGCTGAGAGACGTATACCCCCCCCAAAAAAAGTGATAGTGGGGAAGCGAAGGTGTGGGTGCGGTCCGAGAGAATATCGTAGGCTCTGATAACCAAGTGTTACGAGTGCAATGGAGTGAGCGAGCGAGGATTGCACTATCGAGACAAGATACAATGAGCGAAGGAATGAGCGAAGAATATATAGCGAAACTATGGTGGTAACGGTAACGTGGGAAAAATGGGGTGCGCGACGGGCCTAAGGGTACATTCCTGCGGGGACACTTGTGTCTCAATCACTTTGTGACATCTAAAAACAGCATATACCGTGCCCTGTCACAAAAGCGGATCGCGCTTATGCGAGTCCCACTGTATTTTACATTGGTTGGCGTGAATTGCGCTTGTGTCGCGGACGAGTTACACGAGGCCCCCTCACATCCCGAAAATCGCACGCGTGTCGAAATCTCACACTGTACAGCATGCACCTGGACGCCCGAACTGGGCACGTTTCCGCGCGGGGATGGAAACCGCTCTGCCCGGGCTGACATATGACTGGTCCTTCAGCACACACGGTCACATCCCTGCCCGAATGTTTGCCCATCGTTCCAACCACACTGACAGCACTCTCCCGCTCCAATCTGTTCTTCTTCTCCCAACCCGAGCTTCCTCTTTCTTGTTGCGAAGTCTAGCCAGGGTCTTCTTTGGCACGCTGTAGCCATGGCCCGTAAGCGCAAGAGCGTAGCTAGTTCTGTTGACTTGTGCCCGCGGGATCTCGACGAGATCCCGTACATCGCTTGGATGAACAAACAAATCGCGGCCGGCCGCAAGCCCACCGGCCCTTTGCTCGAAGGAGCGCCTGGTGCGGGGGACACCTTGTTCGAAGCCCCGCGCGATGTCCCTACCCGCGGACGCCGTCATGCCGACCGGGTTGCCTCATCCCGCGTCAACGACGATGCTGCCTTCGATGACGATGATGACGCCGCGGACTCTGATTACAACGAGTGCGACGAGGCCTGCGAAGACGACGCGGACTCTGGCGAGGAGCAGGACAAGGGCATGTCCCCCTCCGAGGATGAAGTTGACGCCGACGAGGACGCCGATGACGACGAGGACGCTCCCGAAGAGGCCCAGCCTGCGTCCCCGGCTCCTCGTCGCGGCCGTGCGTCTGCCGCTGCGGGAACCAAGACTGCTGCTAAGGGCGGGGAACCTCCGCGTGCCGCTGCCAAGACCCGTAACTTGCATCCTGTTAAGCGGAGCGTGTGGTCCCCCCGCGAGAACACAATCTTCGTGGCTGCGCGTTGGTTCATGAAGGACGAGCTCGGGCCCCTCCTCGGGAAGCAGGGCTCTCAGTACTGGGCCCGCCTCGCGCGTCACCTCGAGAAGGAGAATCCCGGTTGGGTGCGCGGTGTAAACGCGCTTCAGAAGCAGTGGCGCAATCTTGTGAACATGTACAAGCAGATCAAGAAGGGGGAAAAGGCGAGCGGCAAGGGTGCCGTGTGCAAGCCCCACTGGTACCCGTACATGGCGCTTTTCCAGAACAACAAGGCGGTGGGCAACCCTCACGCCGTCGACGGTGGCGGTGCGGCACACGTCAACGTGCCGTGCGGGTACGCGGTCCCGTCCACTTCGGCGCCCTGCACCTCTACGCCGACATTCACTGGTATGTATGTGTTGCATCAACGGTGGCACTCGCGGGTTTGTTGAATGACACATTTTGTGACAACATTTTACGCACACATTACATCATTAAAATGTTTAGGGTACATAACACCTCGTCTACTGTTCGTGTGCATCCACCGTGTGTGCAGCTCCGCCGCCACAGGGAACTCCTACATCGAAGCGCCCACGTGTGGCAGAGACGGCGACGATGGCCGCTGCAAAGCTGGTGTGTGAGACGATCAAAGGCTGCCACTCAGACGCCATAAGCAGGCTCGAAGGCCTCGTCCGCGCGTGGATGGATCAGGACGCGCGTATTGCTCGGGAACGCGTGCAGCAGCCCGCACCCTCCCCGCATGTCCGCGACGACATCCCTGCCCACGCGGACAACATGACCGACTCGCACGCCGCCGAAGGCGGCGACGACGGCTGGCTTCGTCGCGGGCAGGCGGGCGAAGACCTCTCTAACCCAGATGCGGGTGAGGAGGTGTGGGTCCGCGGCGCCGCCGAGTGAGGTAAGACGACTCCAGAGCCTCGCCCAGCCGCTTGCGCCTTTCACGAAGATTCTCTTGCGTGCATGGGTCACATGGCTCCCACATGAACTCTGCTACCGCGCCACGAGTCCACCATGGGTTCCGGTTTCGGGGCAAGTTTGCCCACGATGCATTGACGCGCCTTACTGCGCCCATCATTTCGCACATGTTGTGCAGGATGACGCCACAAGACGCCCCTGCAAGAATGCGCCAGAGCTTGCAGTCATTGCGGCCCGCGAATAGACGCCACCGGCCTTTGAAGGCGCCGATGCAGCGCTCTACTGCCATGCGCGTTGCGCTTTGGCAATAGTTAAAGCACTGCTCCCAGTCCTCCATTAGGCCTTCACGGGGAGCATGTAGGGGGGTCAGGCAGAAGTCTCTGAGTGGGTAGGCAGCATCTCCCACTATTTGGTATGGCGCTATGTCGCCGTTGTACAACCTTTCGTGTAACGCGCTGTTCATGAACACTCTCTGATCGTGCGCACTGCCCGGGTATCCGATCAAATAGTCCCATATGATGCCTCGCGCGTCGCATGTGATCTGCAACTGGACGGCGTAACAGGACTTCCGCGTGTAGTACTCTTGCCTGTGCCCCTCCATCCCCTTCATGGGTATGTGTGTGCCGTCTATAGCCCCCACTACCGCAGGTACCCCCTTGATGGCGCGGAACTCTGCGGCCATCTCGTCGAGGTCGTCGCGGGTCGGGAAGTGGACCCACTGCTGCTTGAAGACGGACGGGAAATGCATGAGGAGCGCGTCAACAAGCATGTGGCACAGGGTCTTGGACAGCCCGAACACGGAGGACAAGTCTACGAAAGACATGCCACTTGCGAGGTATTTGATAGGTACAAGGCATGCCACTTCATGACTGATTAGGTACCTGTCCACGTACGGTTGCATGTAGTGCGTCATCCCGGCGACAATGTATTCGAGAATGCCACGGTTTATGCGAAACATATCTCTGAACTGATCCTCCCCCATGCCGTCCAGGTCCTCTAGCAGCAACTGGTATCTCCGCCGGCGTAGCCCAGCCCTTCGTTTCCGCTCTGCGGTACGGTTGGAGGCGCGAGAGCTGGATGACGAGGACACCTCGTCATTGAAGACGTTCGCCTCCAGCAAGCCACCGACCGACTTGGCGATGGCGTCCATGAATATGCTGTAGTAGAACGTAACCCATGCGACAAGTAGGCGCATGAGGAATGGCACCTCGCGGGGCGATGCCATGGTTGCTAGACAGTGGTGCAGTTTAGCTCTGTGATGCTTGCGTTTTTGTACTTGGAGCCGTGGTTGTATACATGCTGTTGTGTGTGGGGTGGCCCAAATTGCAACTTTCATTTCTGTGGCAAGCCCACCGCGATACTCGAGGTGGTGCGATATGTTTAGCCCCCCTGCCCGGCGGGAAAACTGGGTGGGCACAATCCTATTGGTCGCAACCAATAGAACGCACCCACCTGGCTGTGCCCATCTGTCGCGCAGGGTCGCGATACATTGGTTGTTTGTGACACAACATTTGGCAAATTTACAGGCGCGACTCGGGAAAACGGGGATTGAGACACAAGTGTCCCCACAGGAATGTACCCTAATGCCGAGGTTTGGGGAACTGTCGAGGCGGAGGTCCGGAGCGCGGGTTACGAACCGAACCGTGTGGTTGGGTCGCATCGTGAACAGTGGCGGGAATGGTGTCGGGGCGAATGTCGCGAGTGGTAACGGGATATTGTGGGGTGCTGTCAGCGTTGTACGCGCTGAGCAGGGACGCGAAGTAAGGAAAAGGAATTTTCCTTACAATATAGAAACTTCTCTGAATTTTGTTCAACAAAACTTATCTACAGTACAGCGGTATACTCACGACAATCCCACATTCCCTCGTCACGACCCCTCTACAACCCTCCCAAACCAACTAAATCGCTTCTCGCCCTCAGGACTTATCCTTTTCCGTTTTCGTGATGGCTGTACTATCAAGTGTACCATACTCCACCAGTCATGGCTGCACGCCAAACCCAACTTGACGGCCTTCTGCTCCTCCCATTCGTCTCTCATCTCAAATTCTCAATAGATGCTCCCTCCCCCTCTTGAGTTTCTCACCGCCACCATTCACATGTGCGCTCACCAGCCTCTAGAATCTCATCATCTCATGCATTCCAAGCCTGGTCCCCGCTACAAACACGGCTTGGGAAAGCCGCGATGCGAGGCAAGAAATGCAGGCCTCACAGGCCGTTTCGGGATCCGCACGCCCGAAATTTCGGGCATAGTCTTCCAACAGTTGACAGCCACGTCACCTCTGAGAATCTCATTATATCGAGCTGCAGAGCGGCACCTCAAACTCCCCTAGGGACCTGTATGGCCGTCTTTTGGCTGGCAGCCAGCCCGTCTGCTTCGCTCTTCTCCTCCACCACACCCCTTGACGAGATTCTATCACTTGAAGCTTTCTCCTCGTCGCCATGCCTTTGCCTGAAGCTTTTAAAACGTGCCACACGTGCGGGTCTTCACGAAAGAGGGACCCCCCTCTCTCTCTCTCGACCTCTGAAAGAGGAACATTAAAGTCCCCCTGCTAGCTAGATTCTCCTACTCACACTCTCCTAGAATCAAACCATCAGAGCTATGGCTGCCCTTCTCGCCCCACCTGCCGTCACAGTCTCTGCTCCTCGTGTCTCCACGTCGGCGATTCGGACCCTGCGATTCGGAACGACGGACCAATGTCGTCGCATGACGATGCGACGTCGCCACTACTACGTCTCCAAATTCAATTATTCCTACAACCAAGATTTGTTCCCCCGAGACATGGTCGGCGATAGTAGGCTCCCGCAGCCGCCGCGGAGTTCCTCCAATCCGCAAGCAGCCAGAAACGCATCGATCACGGCGCAAAACGCAGCGCCAAACCCGATCGCTGCGGCGGCGGCGGAGCTTCCGCCGCCCTCATTTCACGTGGACGTGGCGATTGCAGGCGGCGGACTCGTGGGGCTCGCGCTCGCCGCCGGCCTGCAGGCGCGCGGCATTGAGGTGGCCGTTTTCGAGGCCGCGGCCGCTGCGCGGCGATCGAACAACAGCACCGGCACGATTCTCGGCATATTTCCCAACGGATTCAAGGCGCTCGAAGGATTGAAGCCAGGGCTCGGCGACGCTGTGATTGCGAGCGGTTCAACGGTCGCGAAACTTACGTTTGTTACCCGACAGATTCCGGCATCAGATTTTGAATCAGCCAGCGCTTCTACCAGCGGCGGTAATAGTAGCGGATCCGCCACTAACGATGCTGCTACTGTAGGGACCAGCGAAAATCGCGACGGCTGGGTTGTGCGCGAAGTGCCCTCGCAAATTGCGAGAATCGTGGGGTGGGCCCGAGCCCAAGAGGTACTCGCCTCGTCTCTAACGCGACCCGAAATTATCATGCACGGACATCGCGTCGTGGCTTATCACCCCGTCGTCGCGGGAAAGCCTATTGCCAGCAGCAGCGTATGGGATACCACCAAGGATGGTGCCGGCGAGGGAGAGGTGGAAGCGGTTGACGTGGTGCTCGAAATTGTGGGTTCGAATCCCAGAACTGGCACAAATATTTCCAGCGTTGCTGCTCCGGAAGGAGCTGATATTGTGGAGGAGGGTGGTGCGGTGCAGCAGCAGCGCGAGCTGGTGGTGGTTCGTGCGAAGATTCTGGTCGCAGCGGATGGCGTGCGATCAGCTGTGCGAAATCAAATGATCGGCGACTCGCCTCGGTATTTGGAGCAGTTTGGTTGGAACGCGCGTGTGCCAAGCCAGCTAAGCGGGGAAGCGAGCCAACAGGAGAATCGAACGGTGCTTTCGTTTAAGGATGCGGTTACAGGTTACCAGATGTTTTTTATCGATGGCGGGAAGACATTTTGGCATGTGAGAACATTAATTGTGTTTCTCTGAACTGATTCAATTTGGCCCGACCCACACATACCCTCTTTTCGCTCGCACATGCTCTCATATCCAGCTCTTCCATACTGCTGCCTTCCATAGCGAAACAGCCACAATGTTTCTGCGACCACACATGCTTGCCTAATGTCAACAACAGTTGATACACCACTTTCGAAAATTTGTGCTACCCTACCCATCTTCCCAATTTCAGGTTAGCGCTGCTGACCCTGATGGCAAGCTCAAAGCGGAGCTCGAACAAACACCCTTTGGTGGCTTTGGCAAGCCAGGTGTCAAGGACCGGTTGATGTGCCATGTCAGCAAGAACATTGCAGACCCCTCAGCGCATGACACCTGGCATACCGTGCTCCAGGCGGTTACCACAACGGACCCTGGTAACATTTACGAGCGGTGGATGATGGACCGGCCTCCTCCAAAGGATTCTTGGAGCGACTCCAAGTGTGGTAACAGGGTTGTTCTTATGGGGGATGCTGCACATGCCATGCACCCCGAACTAGGGCAAGGGGCTCAAACTGCCTTTGAGGATGCTCACCAGTTGTCCCTCTGCCTTGCTGATATAAAGGATAGGCTTGCCGAGCCTGCTGCCGTGGCTGCTGCGGTTCGGGAGTACGAGGATCGACGGATCGATAGGTGTGTGAGAATCCATACATACGCCACTGCAGCACATGGGTTTGGAGAGGAGGCGAAACTTGTGAAGGATCTTTCTCCTACCGAGAAAAGGAAGCTGTTCATGGAGTTTCAGAAGTGGATCCTTGCATACCCAGACAAGATCAAGGGTGACCCTGAATCCACCCACTTCAAGTGATCCTTCAACTGCTCCTCCGGTACACGACACAAGATAAATGTGACCCTGATGCACGTGTGACGTGATTCAGTTGGGCTCTGGAAGGATCATGGTGATTCAGTTGATGCTGAAGCTGTTAGGAAACGTGTCTATGGTAGTTGCATTCGTGACCAAGGATCACAGTGTCACGGTGATCTCGGAAGCTACTTCTAGTACCTAGGCAATCATTCCGATTCTCAAAAGGCAGATTAAACAGACAACACCACCATGTTTCCGCTCCAACTCTTCCGCCATGGAAGTTCTTGGATACCCACAAAAATGTAAAATTTTGAAAGTGTGTAACACTTTCTAAAATTGTGTATTGTGAATAGCGAAGATATTTGTACCGAAGCAAAATGCTTCGGCAAACCGCTACTTCCCCTCTTTTTCGGTATAAAAGAGGGGGCGAAGGCCATTTGGCCTTCACCCACGTTTTTCATTTCAAACTTTTCAGTTTTCAAGTTCTCGATTTTTTCGTCCAAGCTGGCGAGGACTAAGAGCCTTCCTCGCTTTACTTCTCCATCGACGCTCCTCTCCGACATCCTCGACCGCAACCTTTCGACTATGGCGCCAACGAACAACAATAGCCCCGGGCCTAAGGACGCAACTCTTCGACCGTCGTCGGGGCTTGAGAAAACGACCCGGGAAACCGGCGCGGAGAAGCGAAAACGCCCCACCGAGGAAAACGCCGAGGGGCCCCACACTGGGGTGGACGTGCTGCTCGGCGAGGGCGGCGGCACACGCTCGCGCGCGCCCCAGCCACGCGCGTCCCACGAGCAGGCTCATGGGCCTGCAGTCGCCAATGATGACGACTTCGTCGTCATCACTGGCGCTGACGCGGGAGGATCGCGCGCCACCCAGAAGCGGAGGGCGACGGATTCGCCTGCAACCGAGGGGGCGGCGGCGAATCTTTCGCCCTCGCAAGTGGCGGCACTGCTGGCGCTCCTCCAAAAGCAGGCCGCGGCCCCGGTTACAACGCCAGCAGCTACAACAGAAGCGGAAAATTTCGCTTCCGCTAAAACTGCAAACATCCGCAACAACGTCTCCACTTCCGCGAGAGTTGCCGCATCTCACCGCGCCGACAAGGGAAAGGCTCCAGCCGTCGAGGATGAACCCGCTGCACCCGATGACTCTGATTCCGACTCCGACAGCGATGCGGGTGAGGAACCAAACAACCCTATGCCCCTCTTGCCTAACGATCTCCTCCCCCCTCTTCCCTCTCCTCACCCTTCCACCGCGGCCGCCGCCTTCAACCGCAAAGGCGTCCGTGACCAGGCGGAGGTGTTCGAGGCGCTTCAGACTTACCCGGCACACGTGGAACACAAGATCCGCGGAGGCGACGCCGCCGGTGCTCTTAAAACCGTCGGCCAAGCCCAAGACCTCATCAAGCGCCGCTTCGACGTCTTGGTCGTCGCCGACCATGCCGGATTCGATGTGGCTGAGCGCTACCAACTCCTTAAGACTACGGCGGTGCTCACCTCACGCTCCTTCAAGATGGCAGTGGCGGATATGGCAGCCCTCAAGCGTATGAAGACCGGTTTCGCCCGCGGGAGCCGTCCGTTTCACCGCGATTCCCCCCACTTCATGCCAAAGACCATGGGCAGCGGCAACGGCTGTCGGGGCTTCAAGGGAACCTGTTTCCGATGCGGCTAGAATGGCCACATGGCTAGCGCATGCCCCCACGGAGGCCATGGGGGCAATGGGCCCGCACCGGTGGTGTGAGAGAAGCCCTAAGCAACCTCGCCCTCCCATCTCCCCGCACCCAAGGTTCTCATACCTTGGCTGCCTTTGATGGAGGGTGGGGGAGGGCTGGGCCGGGCGTGGACCAGGGGCCCTTGGTAGTGGCTGCTTAGCCCAAGGCTAGAGGCATGGAATGCCCTAGGGTGTTTGTGTACGTGTGTATGCGTGTGTGTGCGTTCTTACGCAAAGCCCGGGTGGCTATGAACTTGTATTTCTAATTATAATGGAATGTTGCTCAGGCCGTTGGCCTTGGAGATCCTGCCTTATGACAAGTTATGTCACAAAAAAAAAAAAAAAAAAGAGGAAGAAAGAGAGAGAGGGAGAAGGGTATGGGAAGGCAACGACCAACCCAATAGCAAGAGCAAGTAACAATGCTTGGCATGGCAAGGCATAGTGAGTTCTCGTTGAACAATAGTACCTTTTGTTACCAAGCCATCAGGCTAACGTGCCTTGCGAGAGAGAGAGAGAGAGAGAGAGAGAGAGAGAGAGAGAGAGAGAGAGAGAGAGAGAGAGGGAGAGAGAGAGAGAGAAAGAGAGAGAGAGAGAGAGAGAGAGAGAGAGAGAGAGAGAGAGAGAGAGAGAGAGAGAGAGAGAGGAAGAAGAAGAAAGAGAAGCGCGCGCACGACGCGCATGGACCCTCACTTGACTGGTTCTCACTTTGATACCCACAAAGGGGGGTGATACCTATTGAATCCAACTGATTCTCAGCCGCACCTCACTCACGCGCACTCGCAATCTCATTACCCTTGTCAGACCCACGAGTTGCACGTCGTTGTGAGTGAATTATCCGCTCATACGTGCGCGCGGTTACATATCACGTAATTTAACGTCATGGTTCGACCCCGTACCCCTGCTATCCCCAAACAAAACACCCCATGGCAGCCGCCACGCCTTCATGGTCAGGGGAGCAGGACGAGATGTTGGCAACTGCGGTTACCAATCGCGACGTCACCATCATGGGTGGTCGCCTCCGACAGGCTTTCGCTTGGTGGGCTTCGTGGTGCGAGAGCTCCTTGATCCTGTCGGTCATTGCTAATGGATATTGGCTTCCTTGGAAGGCATTCTCACCGCCGCCGTTTCGCGATCAAAATCACGCCGGAGTCTTGAAGCACACCGACTTCACCCGATCGGCAATTCAGGAATTGCTCACGTCGGGAGCAGCAGCAGTTGCATCTAGCTCATCGGTCGTTACATGCATCAGCCCACTCAATGTTGCGGAACAACGCAACAAGTGCCGCCTCATTCTCGACTTGCGAAAGGTCAATCAATACCTCATTGTCCCCAAATTCAAGTACGAATGTCTTCTTCGCGTCGCTGAACTGGCAAAGCCGGGCGACTGGATGTTCTCGGTTGACTTAAAGTCTGGCTATCATCACATCGATATTCATTCATCTTGCTGGTCATTCCTAGGCTTTCACTTCGAAGGCACCGACTATTTTTTCAAGTCGTTACCGTTCGGCCTCGCTACAGCGCCCTTCCTGTTCACCCAGTTGATCAAGCAGTTGGCACGGAAATGGCGAGCGCAAGGTATTCGGGTTATACCCTATGTGGACGATATATTGTTCCTTTGCGACTCGGAACAGGACGCTCGTTTGAAAAGTGGTGCAGTCATTCGAGACCTCAAGGAGTCAGGGCTCGTCATCAACGCAAAAAAGTCACACCTGGCCGCGACTCAAAGATTGCACTTCCTCGGAATGGAGCTGGACACCGCATCCGGGAGATTCACTATCGGCCAGGAGAGAAAGGCGCAACTTACACAAGCACTACGTGTGCTGCTTCTCGCTTACGAGCGCAACCAGCGGGTTTCAATCCGCCTCGTCGCCCGAGTCACTGGCATTCTTGCATCCATGGCGCTCGCCCTTGGCGCGACGGCGCGCTCTTTCAGCCATCAACTTTTGACACTCATTAATGAGGCGCCATCATGGAATGCACGGGTGACGCTGACCTCGGAGGTTCGCGACGAGCTACAATTTTGGCTTGACCATTTTGACCGTTTTAACGGGGCCCCGTTTCACATGCCCCACAGTCTAGATGCGGTCATTCACGTCGACGCTAGCGCGCACAGTTGGGGTGCAACCCTTTCATCCTTCCCCGGCGGAAGCTCGCAAGGAAGCAACCCCATGCCAAAAGAACTTCTCTCCACATCGAGCACACGCCGAGAGCTCGAGGGAGTGTTATGGGCGCTGCAGACATTCACGGACCAGATCCAAGGCCGCCACGTACTCATTCGAGTGGACAACCAAGACGTCTTCTTCATTCTTCGCAAAGGCGGCTCTCGCCAGCCTGAGCTCACTCTTCTGTGCAAGGCCATCGTCGCGATTTGCATGGCGCACGAAACCCGGCTGGCCATCGAATCGATTCCACGGGCCCTCAATGCGCATGCAGATGCACTGTCCAAGTTGGAAGACCACGATGATTATTCGCTCAAGCTCCCCTGGTTTCGATTATTGGACAGGCGTTGGGGATCACACACCATCGACCTATTCGCGAACACCAACAACGCACAGCTCTCGCGCTTCTGCGCTAAACATCCGCACCCACGCGCAACTACCATAAATGCATTTTCGCTCGATTGGGGATTAGAGCACGGCTTCGCATTTCCGCCACCGAGCCTCATCCCCGCGACCCTGCACCATGCCGCACGCACGAACGCCACAATGACGCTGGTCATTCCCGAATGGACAGGCGCTGCTTGGTGGCCCCTAATCAGACCCTCCCCACACACCTGAGCAATCGGCATTTCCTCCATCCTCTATCTTGCTAGCGGTAGTCAATGCTTGCATGTGGGTGTGAAAACAAGAGTTGAAAGTTAAAACAAGAAAAGAGGGTTTTGACTAGCAAGCAGTTGAGTACATATAGGAAACCCTAGATTGGGCTGTACTCACTATTGAGTACCCCACTGCAGGCTAGACAAATATAACATATTCTGACACACCCCCATAGCCAAAGTGGGGTGTAATCAGCACAACAAGCAAAGCAAAACAAGCTCAGGGTGGATCACACATTCTGAGCACAAGTACAAGAAGCAACAGTTTATAGTTCACAAATATAAGCAAAGCTAGAGGCAGTCACAGACGGTAAGTGAGGAGGAGGAGGGACTGTGAGAGGAGAGGAGTTAGGAGACGACAGGTGAAGCTGCAGAAACACGGGCAACAGGAGCGGCGCGCACTGTGGCTACCGGAGATTGTAGCCTCCGGACTACTGGAGTAACTGGCTCCGCGGCTAACTCTGAGCGGCAGGAG